CAATTATTTATTTAATGAAAATTCTATCGAAAATTCTATTCTGCCAATAATCTGTGAAACGTTTAATGAAATAAAAAATTGAGAAAAAGTATTTATACACGCTTTCTGCTGTGAACAATAATGATGAAAATTTGATTCTAAAATGGATAAAATTAATCTAACATAACAAGAAATAACGTGATTTGTATCTTTTACAAAAATGAGGATTTTACGTAAAAACACAGACGAATATGTGTCACGTGTAGGTTTTATTTATATACGCATGTTACCAAACATTTGATATGATGTATGAAAAAATATTAATTATCAGTGTCTTACACGTAACAAAAAATTTGTAAGTTAAACAGAAAAATGTTAAATAATTTTTCGATCAAAATAAAAAGCATATTTAACCTTTCAGATTTTTGACAAATTTTTACCTCTTTCAAAATTAACAATGAACATTTGAATCTGTTACCAATTATTAACAAAGAATTGACAGTATTTTAATAATTATATATTAAAAGCACCACTTTGTAATTTCGAAATGTTATATTCATGAAATATTGCAAATAAAGGATATACGTACATACGTACACCGTACTCCAGGGGCGTGTAACATATGATACAAGCATAATGATTCCCCTATTCAATGCGCGAAAATAACAAGAGAAAAATTGATTTTTCAACGACAAAAATGGTTACACGTTTGAAAGATGCATGATCGTGAAAAGAAGAAAATTTAAACACAACAATGCTGTATTAAGTGTTTTATTTTTGCACTTTTCATACCGCAGATTATAATCCTGAACGATTTACATCTTTTCTTCTATCCCCGTTTCCCTATTGTTGAGTTACGATTCGTTCGAATCTACGAAAAATTTGTTTGAAACTTGACTTCTTCGTTTGGCAGCATTAGTGGTTTGAGAAACGGTATTTCAGGTATCTCTTGTTTCTCAGCACAGACTTATCTCGAATTAAACAAGTGAAATATATTCATTCATATACATATACATAAGTACATATATAATATATAATCCAACAATGAGTATAGTCTCATGATGCATACATCTCTGTTGTCTTTCTAAAGACATTGTAGTCACACTCTATCGTGTTTTGTATAATTAGTATTCATTTAAAGAATTAATAGAGGCTGAAATTATATGAACATCAATGAGAGATTTATATATAACAGATGACCCTAATTTTAGAAACTGATGTAGCAAGCTATGTAAGTAACCAAACTTATTTCCACTCTTTTTGCCCACATGCATAAAATAGTTAAATAACTTCATCTTTTATCTTATAAAAAAATGTCTTTTTGAACAACATGTTCTGTTTAACAGGCCACATTGAATGTTTCTTCTATATTATATTTTCTACAATTTTCAAGTTAATATATTTATCCTAAAATTTGTTGCATTGCTTAAGGTAGTATCAGAAATTGAACATTTAAATTCAAGATCATTTCATATAAATTATTAAAGTATATTCGAAAATGAAAATGATAAGATAACTATAGAACTTTTTAAAATAAGAGATTTCAGAGTGTTTTCTTTTTGCTATTACATTACTCACTACAGTGATTTATTACTATTAATTCTATACACTGGGTGTAAGAAAATATATAATAGAATTACATAATACAATGAGTGTTCATACTATTATTGGTGGACTAATAGTGTGAATACCCCATATATATTTATTCTTCACTTATTTTATATAAAAAAATTACTTCACATATTCTGCATTATATTGTTCAAAGTATACTGTTCAAAGAATTATTAAAATATATTTTAATTAAAATCTAATTGGGATTTAAACAACAATTATACTTTACAATAAAGTTAAAACAGGCAAACTTATGACTTATATTGGACATAGCAATTCATAAATCATGTAGAATAAGAATTATATTGATTTTTTGTGAATAAAATAATAAAAGTAGTACATGTACATTTTAAACTTTAAATTAATGATAATTATACAATTATTTTATTTTTTGTATTTTATCATTATTTTATTTTGTTACTTAAACGTGATATCCTTAAAATTTGAAATGTAGACTATATTTTTTTTGATTTATAATGCACAATTTACATGAGTAATATACAAAATATTATTTCTGAATAATGAACATGCTTTTATAAGTTATTATGTATTAAATCCACATGCATTTAGTACATATATATTTGTATACTGAAAAGCAGAAGATAAAGTTAATAACAGAGTTAATAACAGTTTTCATATAATGTGTATAATTTATACATATTTTTTCCATATATAGTATGTATGTATAATTTATTACCAATTGTATTTATGTCCTTTTGTAATTAATCAAACTAAAATGTTTCATTATAAAAGCGTTATATATGTATAAATTTAAATAAGGAATATGTGAAAATTCAAACACTTCTAATTTTATAAATTCCTAAAATATAAAGAATCTTCATCATATAATACTATGAAGTTTCCACTAATTATACATATTTAAATGAATCATTCCTAACATATTGTCAATTAATTTATTAAAATAAATAATTGAGATGAATAATTATTCCAGTAAATAACATATTCTCGTAAAAAATATTAGAGTATCCTGACAATTTATAAAATTGTCTTTTTAAACACCCAGTGTACAAATCGAAAACGTGCATCTGATATACATATGTATTTCTGCTTTGAATTTCATTATAACAAAAATTAATTAAATCAAAGAGAAATAAGCAGTGTAAAAATTAATACTACACATCATTAAATTGTTAGCAATTTATGAAGTAAAAAAAATTACACAGAAATATAAAGAATTATCTTATGGTTTTTAAATAACGAATTTCTTTTACCATTACCCTGTCTATGAAAAACCTATCCATCCAGAATAGATGTATATAGAATTGCACAAATTTTACTGTCTTCAGCATATCTCATGATTTGTACTTACTTGTATGTTCCAAGCAGTCATATTTTTTTTTCATAATTTTCTGTCATAACTTCTACTTTTCCAAGAAAATAAATAGCAATTACGATAATATATAAGAACAAAAGCAATATCAAGTAATTAGGAACAATCTATGCACTTGTGTTTGAATTATATATTTGTGTGCAATGTGAAATTGTTTTTGTGTGATATTGTGTATCCGTTTTTCTAAATACATGTTCTATGTGCTTTGTATATCCAGATGGAATTTTTCTGTTTGTACATTTCTACAAATCATATTCATAAAAAAAATTGTTTTCCTTGTAAACATTATGTAATTTTCTTTGTTAATTCGAGATCAGCCTATACATATACATATATACACGTACATTATACACACATGTATACATACGTACGTACACATATACACAGTACGTCTCATTAAATATGGTAAGTGCAATCTTTTTTTATCAACAGTCTTATAAAAAAATTCTTACTGATAATTATTAAATAATTCAACTGCATAATTAATACAATTATATAATAACTCTTTCTTACTGATAAAATATATTTTTTTAAATTAAAGTATGTGTTAAATAAAGGTTAAAAAAACTAGTTATTTTCCAATAGAAAATTACTTCTCATAGCATAAACCTTTTATATAATTTAGTAAAAGGAACAATGTATATGTTAATGTTGCATAATAATCAAGAAAGATAATATATTGGAATATATAAGGCTTGGTTTATCAGTAAGTAATTTTTTTATAGAATTATTAACAAAACAATTATACTTTCATACCACATTTAGTGGGACATTCTGTACATAGCATATGTACAGATTGCTTCATAAAGAGTGGTATATTCCAAAGATGCAAAATTCTTGCATGACAAATAAGATGACATTCAAGGTTGTTCCATAATCATTGCAGAATATATCTTCACCTTAGTAATAATTGTAATTATGAAACATATATGTTCTTAGAATATATTGAGAATTTTGATATATCACATAACTTTTTGCACAATTTTTTCCAGTTTTGATGCATATGTACATAAACTAGAAAGCTAATTGGCTTTATTTCAGTCACACCAACGATAAATTATGATTAAACATGTATTATGTCACTAAAAGAAGAAAAAGAAATAAGGATTATTAACACGCACTATTTAAAAACAATCCTCACTATAAACAGTAATAACATAACAAATACATAAATGGATTAAGAAATTTAATAACTACCACCTTAAAGACTTGATATGGGTTGAAAAAGAATTAAAACTCATTTTATTTCGGACGTATGAATTTCTTCTTTCTTGGATACACCATACCTTATGAAATACTCTGTGTGTATATATTGCTTTATATTATGGAGCTGGTAAATCTAATTCATAATTTATTGTAAAATTCCCGTTCGAGATATACGAAAAAATATGAAGATTATTTACAAAATGATTTCATGCCAAAGAGAAAAGTTTCGTAACGCATACTTGACTAATTAGTCTGAAAAATATATTACATTTAAAATATACAAATTACGAAAAGTGATTAATTTAAAAACAAATTTCGTAAAACACTTCGATGTCGAAGCAGAAAATTCATTTAATCCGAAACAACATTCGGATAAACCCTTTGAAAACAGGTAAGTCTCTGAAGTGAAGTACCTAAACAGAGTATTCGGAATATAAAAACTTCGAAAAGCTACTGTAAAATCGAGTAATTAGAGATTTCTGGAACGGAAAAATATTAAAAAAAGAAAATCTGTTTAATTATATTTAAATGCTTTAACATTTCTTAAAACAAGAATAACATTCATTCCTAAATACGTATACGTACATATATGTATACAAGTATACTGTTATCAATATACATACATATATATGTACATACACATAGCTGTGTATATTTTATATATATGTATATGTATATGCATATGTATATACACATGTATATACACATATATATGGTTTTTGTATCCCTAAGTGTTTCATTTTAATCAACCGATTAAAGAATCGTATTAGGAGGTTCGTTTCTTTGAACACAGTTCACGATTGCTAAACACTTTCACTGTAATCAACAATAGCTTTTTTATGTTAATGTCTGTCAGTTTGTTTGTTTCCATTTAATCCCAAATTATTTCTTTTATTATTATTTCACTTGAGTCTTAAGATGTTGCAAGAATTCGTAGTAACTCAGAGAATTCTCAAAACGGTCTTCAACTAATCGTTCAACAAAGAGCGTCCTGAAATGACTGTCATCCCTGAAAATTAAAAATTAAACATCATAAATATATGTATATATTTTACTCACTTATACGAAATGTAATTATACTGATTGAAATATTAAAGAAGTGTTAATGAATGTTTTCAATAAAGCATGAAGGAATACAATAAAATTAATATTTTCCCGAATATCATGGTTACTGTACTCAAGTAGAACATTTCTAGCACAAGTATACAGTTTGCACTATGCTTGCCAATTTCAGCCCACACGAAGTTAAAGATATTATGAACTAGTAACAAACATGTTTCAAACTTTGAGCATGTATGCTCCATTAAAGACTAATTCAATCTTACAATGTGTTTCCAAACATAGTTTGTAACAATGAATTTTAAGTAATATTATACTTGAATAACAACACTAACACCTCAACTTTACTTTAAAATATCATTAATTCAAGCATATTATGATTTTAACAGCATTAATTGTGTGTATAATGAGACAATGTTCATTGTATTAGTTGTTAGATAATTTTTAATGTGAGAATCTTCTGAACATAAAAATAAAAATACAACTTACCGAATAATTTGTACAGAAGCAGGATAAGGCTTTTCTTCTTGCAAACTAAATACAAAATTGCGTAACCTTTCACTTTCTATTGTCTCGATCTCCGGTAACTCATACTAGAAAAAAAATATGTTCCGTATTTATTAAAGAATATAAATTTTTAAGAACTATAATTTTTAGCAATCCTATGAATTACTTCTACTACATTTTTTACATTAAACAGTCGCATAAATGTATAATTAAATACTTAATTACGAAATAAATTTAACGTACAAAAATAAATAATTTTTAGTGTGAATTTAATTTCATCAATTATATAAACATGAACTTACGAGTTCTTCCGGTATCGACGGAAAAGCAGAAACCCCAAGCACATTGCAACAGAAAGAAGGATGAATGTTTTTACCAATCAGAATAAACATTCGATCACCAGCGTCCATCAAGAATGCACCTCTAGAGTCAAGTTTCTCAGCAGAAAGGTGCAGTCTAGGTGGTTGTGGACATAGTTTCCCGTCAATATCTTTTGCATTCCGATCTTCAAGCGCATGAACAGGATAAAGGTCTGGATAAATCATCTGAATTAATTGAAAGAGTGGCAGAGTTTTCAACTGGCACATTGCAAAGACTCGATCATCAAGTCTTGTATTCGTTCCTGACCTGAAGGCAACCTAAACAAACATTTTACTTCTTAAATAAAAGAAAATTAAGGGAATTAAGGTCATCATTATTGATACATTCTATATTACATATTATGAAACCAAAATTAAAGAAAAAAAAGGGATCACAGAAAGTACTATCTTTTTAGTTAATACTTACACATTTGAGCAGAGCAATAATATAAAGAGGCAGTAGTTTTAAACTTCCTGGAGCAAGAAGTCCACCGGAGGCCGCTGATTGAGACAATTTGTAGGCTGTTAATACGTCTATGGCTACGTTTATTAAAGCATCTCTTGCATCGGATAAAGAGGACTGCTGAGACCTGTCTACGGCTATAATAGTATAAACAAAAAAGAAATTATAACACGTTTTAAAACATCAATATTTTCTTTAAATAATATTTCACAATTTTTCATTAGAACGTCAGAAAATAATAAGGCAAGTTAGAGCCTCAAATATAATCTATTGTATGATCATATTGAAACACTTAAATATAAAACATCAAAATTTAATTCAACTCCAATATGAATACTAATCAGTAGAATAGTATAAATACCATGCTACTTGCTTATTTCTTTTCTAAAGAAGATAACTTGCCCATTTTAGAAAGTAGGCCCACTATGCATTGTTGATCAGCGGAATGAAGGACATCGGATAAAGTAGACACTACTGGTAGGCACAATGTATGCACCCTAATTCTTCTTTCACCTGAAATTCATTTTATTTTCTACGTTATTTTTGATATTATAATTTTTAATTTTAAAAATACTTTAACAGAGAGTATATTAAATAGATAAAAAGTAATTATAGAAGGCATTAGGTTAAATACTCAGCAATTAGGTAAAATGTTAAACATAATATAGTGCATTTAAAATTTTAGCATGTGAATCAATAGAGCAGATAATATACCTACACTTTACTATAATTAAATAATTACATATAAGTGTACTTACCTTTACTGGACGTATAAAGTAAAGCTGCCTGGAAACAGACATTTTGCACATCTGAAAGATTTTCTTCTATAGCGATTTGCATTCCAAAACCAGCATCTGGATTAACGTTAGGCAAACTAAGAAGATCAGTTGATCTCACAAAGAAGTTTCCATGGAAAGTATGAATACTCAATCCACGTGTACATCGTATTCTCATCACCGCTTCGAAACCGATCTTTCTAGTAAGGTAACGTCTCAGTATTCTATCGAGAGTTTCTGTATGTTGCGATTTTGAGCCACGAAATAAAGGAAGATGATATATGCAACCTCCAGAGAATTTACACATGCCCGCTATAAAATAAAAGTTTTGGTTTCCGTTTTATTACTTTAAATTTCTAACAGTTTAATCATTTTTACTACTTTCTTAATTATTTAAATATTCACTAAAACAATTTAACAATTTTAAAAGAATTTTTATATTTTTTAGCAGAATAAGTAATAAAGAAAGTAATTTCAATCAGTACTTACAAAGAGTAGCTAAGTCACAGTATTGACTATTTAATAGAAATAGATCGACTGCAATTTGCTGACCACTGCAATCTAATGCTAATCTTTTGTAAAAATCTGTAATTGGATTCAAATGTGGTACATCTTTACTCGCTCTACTGTTTGGATCTTCCCTGGCTTGTAAAAGTCCTGGACCTAAATTTGGCAAGCAGGTTTGGAAGATGGTCACACGTCCACCAGTCGGTGACTAAAATAAAATTAACAACTTTCACTTGCTTTTTTTGTATTTTGTCAAATTGATAGTTAACAATTTTTGATATGTGTATACTGATTTTTTAGACAGGCATATATATTTTTGACATACCATAAGTTTGTAAGCAGCTTGCAATGCTGCGCCTAACGCGTTATTCGTATCATGAGTTCCTTGAAATTTTGTAGGTAATTGGACCAATAAATCTCTTACTAATTCTTCCCGTTCTTTTAAATTAACAATTAGATTTTCCGGACATGGAAGAAATACATCTAAAACCAGGAATTCTTACAATTAGATTATATGTATTAGTTAAATGTGCGCAAAATAATTATTCATATTCATTATGTGTAATTAACATTTAAGAAATACATATTACTTTACCATCTATATCGAGCATAATCATTTCCTGAGGTTGTGATACATTATCAGGTATGCCAAAGAAATGTATTGCAGAATCTACTGCCAAAAATCCAATTTGTGTTCTAGCATCGCCTGGCAGCCTTGATAATTCCTCTGAAATTACGTTGCACACTATGCTCAGATAACCGCTCTCTACTGCCAGTCTCGAAACGTCCAAAACAAACAGATACACAGCTGGCTGTGGTGGACGCAGCTTAAACATATTTATTGCTTTAATTATTTACTTAAACATAATCCAAGTCACTTTCAATGACAAAATTTACAAATAAAAGGATAATAAATGTATTTCAGTATTATATTCTAAATAAAAAATGTTATTTATATATTAGCTAAAATACTAATCAATATTTAACTAAATTAACTAAATTAGTAGTATATATTTGCTTTATAATTTTAAGAGAGTATTCCTTACCATATATTCACTAGGTGCAATAAATTCAATTGTACTAGTTTTTACTTCTGGTCTTCTAGATGGATCCCCATATGATTTTGTTACAGGATCAAACTGAAATTCTTCTGGCACTGTGAAGATAATTTTCACGTAAAATTAAGAACATTACTCTCACAAAATAATCAAATATTTGTTATAAGCGAATAAAAAAATGTTACGAAAATATTATTATTTCTAATATATGTACAAAGCATTTAGAAGATCATTTCATCAATAAATGTTAATAAAATAAGAAAAAATAAAAGAATAAAACATTAAATAAAACATTACAGTAAAATGAAATAATAATAAAAAATGATTTAACGGCATATACAATTCGTACTTACATTCATTTACTCTGTAACAAAGATTACATTTCCATCTTTTTGAATCATTGAAGTACACAAATGGATTAATATATGTTCTACAAGCACGACATCGAACTATTGTGCTGCATTGTATTACTGGCAAATGCTAAAAATATAATAATATTTAATACGGTAAAATAACTTGTTAAAAATTTTTAGATTTTAATGTCTGAAATAAAAAAGGAATATTTTACATACATTTAAGTCTTTGAAAGGATGTATTAAAACACCCAAAGGCAACCTCGACTTCTGCAGTAAGGAATTTGATTCTGGAATCTTCGTGATCGTGCAGCGGAAAATACTAAAAAAGTCACAAAATAATTAAAAAAAATCATGAATCACAATTATAAATTTAATAATTATTAGGAAAAAAAAAAAATTAATCACTTAATGTTTTTATATATGGAATACTTACTCTGGACTACAATTAACACTTTCTAAAAATTCTTGGTGAAGTTTTATCTTTGGTGGTTCTACTTTTTCTGCAGGTAGAACATTTCTGCACTGTAGAAGGTCCATGATCTCCATTCCCTAAGATAAAATAATATTTTGATGTTATTTGAATAATAATGAAGCAAAAAGATATAGCACAAAATAAGTTAAAATAAGTATATGTAAAATTTCTAGTAAGATGTAAGATTGCTTAAATTTGTTTTTTGATTACTCACCCATAGTTTATTATAGCCAAGTTGTGCAACAGACATCATATTCATTTGGTTGTTCAACTGATTCATTTGATCAGGATATGAGTCTGGATATCGTTTATTCATTGAATCTGGTGGCATATTCATTGGATTTGGTGGTTGACTTGGATACTGAAAAAAGATTAAACATATTTTCTAATTAAAATCTTAATAAACATAAAAAACATCACCTCAAAAAATCAGATCAGTAATAATCTAGAATTTAAAATTGCTGAAATATAAATTGTAAAGTAGCAAATATAAACTTAAAAATAAAAGTTAAAAATAATTATCGTACAGTGCTCTATAAATAATTGATAGCAGCTCAAATAAAATAGATTCTTCATTAAAAAAGCAAAGTTTCCTATTATAAAACAAATTCCTTCCCAAATGATAATATGAAAGTGAATAAAAACAAACCATTCTTTGTCCAGGATATCCTGTTGTTGAAGTTGGAACCTTTGTTTGAACTTGTCCACTACCAGGCATACCATATGGCATTGTATTTGGTACAGTCGCGGGATGTGGTACGCTATACGCATTTTTTGGATATATTCTTTGTCCTCCGAAATTTTGTTGGTACATGTTTTGTCCTCTAGGTTGTTGTGTACTAGTAGGAATTACATTTTGTTCTTGTTGCTGTACAAATGTTTGTGTACCTTGTACAGTATTTAGATTATCAGGCTTATAAGGTTTAGGATCCAGCCCTGAATTCTGGGATAAATTTTGATCAAAAGCAGGCATTATTTGTGGAGGCTCTACTTGTGAATTTACTTGTGAATTTATTGATTCATCTCTTGGAGGAGCTTGATTTTTTGTAACTAGGACTTGGAACTGATTCTGAACATTATACATTGGTGGTTGTTGCTGAACTTGAGGTAACCTCACTGGTAGTGGTGGTGGTGGTGGCATTACATTCATTGGATTAGTTGAAGGATTCATTGAATTTTGTTGACCATTCACTGGAGGCATTGGTGGCCGTTGTAAAGGTGTCCTGTATTGGTTATGAAGATATGGAGTTGGTGACGGATCTCTTGAGGTTTCCCTAGATGGATCTCGTGATGATTGTGATGATGGAGTACCTGAAAATGAAACATATTGATAATAAGTTTACGTTCTTTATATCTAACATTGATAAGAAATAATTTTAATATATTTGAATATAAAAGTTTAGTATTAATTCATATTAAATAAACATTTATGATCAATAATATATAAGCATAATACATAATAAATTTGATATATTACAACAAATGACATTTCAATAATTTATTACTATTTATAGTGATTACAATATTTTTAGATTTACACTGCTAATGTGTCATACTTTGAATACAAAGTTTATAATAAATTGTGAAAACTTAAAATTTGAAAAAGTGATAAATAATTAAAAAATGAGAAAATAATTTAAAGCTTGCATTGAAACACATGGGGATAATAGAGACTTAAAGAATTATACTAATATTAAAAATTTGACTTTTTAACAATTACTTTGCATTTTAACATATTCTTACCAGTAAAGTTATAATTTGTTGATTGCATGCCATTATGATGTGCCACACTTGCCTGTCCATTTACCATTTGAGGGGGGCCACTTTTTACGTTACCCCCATTACCATATGTATGGTATTGATAGTCTGTTGGTTGAGACATATCGTTGACTTCCAAGCGTCACTAAAAATTTCAAAATTTTTAAGTAATAATGTACATAAAGACATTGAATACAGTACTAGAAACATTAAGGTTATTTACAATATAATATTTCTAACATTTAAAAAAAAACAAAGAAAGATTATATACAAAAAATTAACCACATTAAAATTATCAAACAAAATATACTTCAAATTTCCATATTTAATGATACACATTTTTGCAAATCATATCTATAAAAAATGAAGGTCTACATTTAATTAATTAAATTTATTGATTTGTTGTTAGTAATGATATTACATTAAAGTAACTAGATATAATTAACAAAGAATGTTATCAATGCAATGTTATCACAGCAATAAATAATAAAACAACTACAATAATAGTAAAAGCACCTAAAAGCAATATTAAAAGCTAATTTCCTATGTATTAAAAGTAGATATTTGATAAGGCAATCATTCAATGACATTAAAATACACATTAAACGTCATATCCAATGTTTAACTTTCTTCCATAACAACAAGACTATAAATACTACTTAACATGAATCATTTAAACCTTGAATAATCTAGACTTTTTGCTCTTTCTGATATTTTTTTTGATGATTTTCAATTTTAATACTTTATAATTTACTTATATAATACATAATTTACATTTAAAAGTAAACAGAAAGATACTGATGTCATATTCCAAAAGACAATACAAATGTAACATCTTACATTTACTGAATTGTATGTTTTTTTTTCTTTATAATACCTGTTTTCATGTCTATGTAACTGATATAATAATGCAATATTTAATTAATGTTATTTTAGCAAAAAGATTAAACATAACATTAATCATTGCATTCTGTAATTTCTGTTTTATCAAAAATTTCAGTGTATAACAGTATTATTATTGTTTTTAGTATCATTATTAACATAGATATACAACAAAAATACATAAAGGGAAACACATCTGACATTGAAAATTATGGATAAACAGGTGGTAAATAATTATAAATTTGTATCAGACATAATAATGTAACAAATAAACTTATAGATTACATTCAATGATTTTAAAGTTGCAATATTAAAATATAATTGTTATCTAGTTAAAAATATTCACTCTAATTGAAAATACACAATGAAAAATAAAATTTTGCCAGCAATATGAAAGTAACTATTAAAGAACTTGAAAACTAAAATCTTACAGATTGCAAAGATAAAAAGTGAAATGTAATGATACTGTAATTAAATATAGATTAATGCACTTTAATCGTACCAATTAAATACAGTGAAACCACAAAATACATTTTCTATATAAAGGTGTCAGAGAGCAGTGAAATTACATTATTAAGTGTTAACAAAAGTCAAATAAACTTGACAAGAGCAGAAACGCATATTACGACAAACTATGCGAAAGAAAACAATAAAACTACACAATGAACGACAGAAAAGAAAAAAAATAAGGCAGTAAATAAAATATCATTGAAATGCAACAGTTTCGATGTTTCAGAAGTAAATACATATTTACTCATCAAGCTGGAATTCAAGTAAGAATAAAATAACAAAATTCGCAATTCAGTATTCGTGACCAGGAAAGAAGGCAGACTGAATGCCTACAGGAATTTTCAAAGATTAAGACACAAGGAAAGAGCGAAAGGTTAAAACGTCACGTCGAGATGAAGATACTATGAAGCCCGAGCTTTTCTTCGGGTTTTCTAGAGCGGGAGAACTTTCTTACCTTTTGGACGAGGTTACCACGGCGAATATGAACAAAAGTTTAGACCTCACTGCACCATGAGACGTGCATTGCACTTTTTACGGTGTAATTCGCCGTTAATTGTCGAAGAGACGTATCTCGTCGACGCGACACACAACATTACGTGGCAGCCCAGTTGATTGAGGCGCCATTTTCGATCAGTGGACTGATCCCGAACCACACACTCGAAATCATTAGTGTATATGTATATTCATATATAATTTCACAAACAATGAATGTAACATGAATAAATCTAATAAAGCAAGAACTATAATAGAAATATTATTTTGTGAATTTTTATTTTGCGATGATTAAATTATAAATGTCTGACGTAAATAATAGGTACTCGTCAAATCCTAAATTTTTCGAAATAAGGATAATATTTTTAAAAAGACATTTATCTAATTTCATTTATTAAACATACAAATTAAATTACCACCTAGTAAAAAATTAGTTTTTTATAATATAATTCTTGTGTTGTATATCAATAAAATTATATCAAAATAAAAATATATATTTGCGTTTTCTTTTAAATTCTGCATTGTGCCTAAAGTACATACTTAACTTTGGTAGATTCCAGATGGCGACAGTAAAGGGTTAATACCGCAATAATCCTATTTAAAAGAGCTCTTAAACAAAGATTCAACTGTAATGTCAATTCTATAAAACGATTATATACTTTAAAAATAACAAAACTGGGGAAAATTTTACAATAATCAGGAATTACCATCCATAAATTTATTTTTATATTAATCTTACAATTGGTTACATAAAATATATTCCTTGGTCAATTTCTTAAAATTATGTACACTTGTATATTCACAAATTTTTAATAGTTTCTCTCTTTTTTATAATTAGTGAATTGACTGATTACATATCAATTAAATAGCGAATAATTCACATAATTGACATAAATACTAAGTAATTGATAAAATTTGAATAAATCAATTACTCATTACTCGCGAAAATTCATTACATTACAATAAACAGCAAAGCTAATTTGAAAAAATAATTTCCTATGTAACACCATTATTGGTTTTAAAATCTTTTGCTTCTTACAATCATGCACATCATATACTTTACAAAATTATAGCTTTTAATACAAAATGATTTTATACTTACATATTTAGGAATGACTTCAATAAAGGACAAACAGAACTGAAAATCATTAAAAACAATTAAATTTTATTATATATAAACGTTAAATCTAAATTGAGAATTGATGGGCATGCTTATAAATTGCACATTTTTGTTACATTCACACCGTTTTGATCATAGTTACAATGTTAATGAAAGATCATTAAATAAGAACAGAAAGAAACATTTTCTTTCAATTAAAGAATTGTTGCATTTTAGATGCCCATATCTGACAGAAGCTTATACGTTTTTAATAATTCTTCAACACTTAACAGCGCAAGTTTATCGTGAAGTTTTTGTAATTTTTCATTAACTGTTGGATCTTTGATTTGTTTTGTTTCAAGTAATTGTAGTAATTCATTTTTCCCAGGATGTTCCTTTAAGGCATCTGAAATTTAAATTTAATAAAAATTTTCACATAATTTTATAAATCCTTTAACCACTTAACGCTCACGCCCATGACATATACAGGCACGCCGAAACGTCCAATTTGGACAAGTCCCTGACTGTCACAGGCACAATCGATACGGTCGCCGCTTGGCGGTTTTCTTACTCTAGTCATTGATATTTCTGAATCAAAACTCTGATATCTGGACTAAAACACATATATTGCCTTTCTAACACTATCCCTTGTATATTAAATGAATAAACAATGATAATATGCACAATCTTTAAGCCGACATCTGTTACGCATTTCTTTAGTCTCTGTGTAACCAGCGTTCAGTAATCTTCTTTCTTATAGTTTTTTTTTATTGTTATTATTGTTATTTTCTATTAAATTTTGCTACATTTTTTATTAAATTTTAATACTCGAAACAGAATAATTTATGTTATATTCTATCTTCCGCTTTTCTTTCTCTATTTCAGTAATAGTACTTCGTACACCGCTAAAAATGCAGAAAACATGTTACAATATCCACAGAATATGAATGTATGCAAAAAAAAAAATTTGTGCATTTTTGGACGGTAAATTTGAAAAAAATCTGAGCGTTAAGTGGTTCAAGTCCTACATATGTAAATTCAAAAAGTAGGTGAAAAAACTATTCCAATAATTAAAATATTTAAATTTTCTTCTATATTTTCTTAAATCAGAAAAAAAGTTTTTGTGTGTACCTGAATTAGTAATGTTATCTACTATAAATGAAATATGTTGCAAAACTGATATCTGTTGGGTTGGTTGGTCTTTCCTTGAACTTTGATTTTCTTCTGTATCAACCTCAATAAGGTTTTCATGCTCAGTTAAACAGGTTTTGATCAATATCTTCAAGCTAATTAAAGCTTCATTCCGCATTAAAAAGTGTGGTGCTGTTAACATTTTGACTAGGTGTTTCACTCCACCATGTTGTATTATTGAGAAAACTATTTCTTTACTCCTAGAATAACAAAATATAAATATTAGTAATTGTACTT